AATTAGAGGTAAGCAGGCCTTTTGAATAATAAACACCTGACTGAGACCCTCGTCACGAAGGAGAAGTAAAAAAAGGAAAGGATAAAACGGGAGATACTCACATGCATTTAACAAAGGTGCTGAAGTTTTCCACTTGGGTTCCAAAAAGGAGATAGCCCAGTTGAGCGTAGGCAAAAAAGACAATGAAGAACATGATGGCAAAACCCAGGATGTCCTTGGCACATCGAGCAAGAGTGGAGGACAGCTGAGTCATTGTTTTGTTAAAACTAATATATTTGAATATCTGGATGGGGGAGGAAAAGATAAATGCCAGTGAAGGACCGTAACCAGTGGTGGGATTCAGCCAGTTCGCCCCAGTTCGGTAGCTAATTTTTTGTTGCCCAGGCCCAGAATGGACTTTCGGAAGCGGCATCCACACAGAGAACCGGTTGTTCACCTATTTGAATCCCACCACTGACCATAACCCACCACCTTCTTAGATTTGGGTAGGAAAAGATGAAGAAAACCAAAGAAAGACAATCTCTATCTGAGCTTTAAAAATTCAGAATTCTGCGTGCAATGGAATTAGAGACATGTATAAAGTAAATTGGCTTTCTCAAGTTGTTTCACATTTGCTATTGTTTTGCAATCCAAAAAAAGGGGGAAAATGAGTGGAAATACTTTCCCAAGACCCTCTGTTGAATTACTCACCAGCTATGAAATATCTCCCCCCCCCCCCCCGAATTGCATTTGGCCCTGGCACTTTCAAGGAAGAGATCTTTCTCTTCAGACAGAATGTGTGACTAATGATGTTAACTGTTTTTATTTGGTTTTAATTTTCTGGTTATTTTTATGTTAGACTATTGGCCACCTTGAGTTCTCAATGGACAAAATAAAACAGGGTATAAATCAAAACAATAAACAAATACCACCACCACCCCTTTATTGCCACCTTATCCTCCTACTGGGTAGAAAATTCTTACTTTTGAAATTGGGATAAAGAGAGGTAAAGGATGAAAAGTACCTTGATCCAGGCAAAAAACAAGTTCACAGCATTCATGTTGTTGTACTGGGTTTGCCAAAAAGCCAGAAATTCGAAGTCTGCGTAGACGCTGGGATTTCTTAGCAGCTGCCCCATCAACCTGTTGACTTCAATGGTACGAAAAATGTGGAATCCAATGGCTAAAACAGAAAGCTGAGAAAAACGTGAGATTCAATCAAAAGGGCAGAGGGTGGGAAAGTATTTATTTCTCCTCTCCTCTCCTCTCCTCTCCTCTCCTTCTCCTCTCCTCTCCACCCTTCCCTTGCCAAAACTCTGCCGGAGGTATTCCAATGCCACAGGAGCAAAAGAGGAAAAAGCCTAATCTATTCCCATTTTCTACTGTGATATCCTTACTTGGCCTTTATAAATTAACGTTGCTATAATTATAACACATAGGCAACTAAGTAAATATCTAATAACTAGTCCAGGGGTAGGCAACCTTGGCTCTTTTATGACTCATGGACTTCAACTCCCAGAATTCCTGAGCCAGCCATGCTGAGGGGAAAGGGAGAGGTTTCCAAGCTGAACCATGCTGGCTCAGGAATTCTGGGAGTTGAAGTCCACAAGTCATAAAAGAGCCAAAGTTGCCTACCCCTGAACTAGTCACTTCAACCAATAAACACTTTCAAGTCTAATCTTTCTTCTCCCATTTTAATTATGTGAATTATTACGTTGCTTTCATAAGTTTATTATTATAATCCTATTAGAAGAAATCTCACCAAAATGACCACGATATCCAAAATGTTCCAGATGCTGGTGAAGTACTGAAACCTGTGAATGTGCAGTTCCAAGATTTCTTCCACAATATAATAGAAGATAAAGATGCAGAAGACAATTTCACAAGAGACAATGAAGAAATCCCAAGTGCTGACATATCGGAGGAGTTTCACCGTCCGGATCTGCCATGAGGGAATGGCGCCCCCAGTGGCAGGGAATTCTACCACCAACCTAGGCAGTAGAGATGGTGATGTACAAACATAGTAAGGGCTACTATTCTCTATATATATGCACAATCCTGTTGGATAATCAGCTACTAGATATATAGAAACATTAGAAAGATTGATCTATTTACAAACTGATTTTTTATTTCTTCCGCAGTCCCTGGGGAATTGCAATAACACTGGTATTTTCACTTTTGCAGAAAAGTGAAGAAATCAAAATAAAGAAAAGCCATTTTTGAAATTGACTAATTTGGCGGTATTCCTATTATATCAAGATTTTCAGCCACGTTGTACTTCTCCCATCCAAGGAACCCACTCACTAGTTCCCCCATTCCATCTTTACAGTGTTTTGTTTCACCATTCCATTCTGTTTCCAATGCTCTGGTATTTTTGTAGGTTGAGGACTACTTTTTCTCCACTTCTATGCCATCATCAGCACTACAGGTTTAGGACTATATCAGCATTTCAGGTAGGAATAGGGTAAAAGGTGGGAGACGGAGAGAGCATTTGATTGGGGCCAGTTGTCCTGAATTGGTTTGACCTCCATACTGCAGTTTTTCTCAACCTTTGGAACTTTAAGATGTGTGGATGTCAACACCAAGAATTCTCAACTCCATAGCATCTTAGAGTTCCCAAGGTTGAGAAGAACTGCCATATTGAAATAAGATCTCATCATTTTTGATCAAAAGAATGGGATATTCAGTTAGGCTTGTTTCCATGTAAATACTGTCTGTTTATTATTTACTCTTGCTTCTGAGTAAGAAATATAATGGATCACACAGGAGTATTTCAAAGTCAATTTTCTGAATGAAAATGGATTAATAAAAAATTGTAGAAAAGAATCAAAGACTAGGAAAAGATCAAAAGATAATTTCAGAAGAATGAACCAGCACTGCCATGTTCAAATGCCACTTACCTGAGTACACAGAACAGGTTGATGTTGGCATTATACACGGAGAAGTCCATAAAAACGACACGGGTTCCCCGATCCAGCCATAGGTTTTCTTTCAAGAGTTGTAGAGTTTCGGCACTTTCTTCCCGGGTTATTTTGAGGTCTACATAATAGCCTCCTCCACTATAACTTGTTAATCTGCCCCAATGGGATGAGCCATCAAGTTCTTCCTCTGTGTAATATTGCCACCTGTGCCACAAAAGTTATTATGGAGGAAAAAGAGAGTGAGAATCGGTGAAAGGAAAATGTACCATGTCTTCAATTGGCTCAGGTTGAGCTGCATGCTTCATCCATGATTCCCTCTCCAAGAACAAAAGTTCTGTTCAACTGTCTCATGGATATAGAGAATAATATCATTTTTGAGGAAATTAATCAGTAATCTTGCTTTAAAATGCAAGAAATCAGGGTCCCTTCTGAGCCTCTTGTCCTGCCCACTATCCAGCTGTGGGCTGTACTCTGTCTTAACTAACCATCCCTTAGCAATATCCCAAGGACTTTCCCACTTCCCATTGTATTTTTTTTCCAATGAGGATTTTTAACAATATTCTCTTAAATTCTTTTCTTTGACTAACAGTTTTGCAGATTTCACGGCAATCAGCCTGGACTGCCATCCTGTAATATTTGTGTCATTGGGATGAAAAAAAGAAGGGAGCAAGGGCTTTTTCTACATGCCCATGCGCTCTATGGTTTTATTTTGAATTCTGTTCCAGTGGAACATAGAATTATGATTATGAGTTTTTAAATGTTCTGATGAAATATTTTGAGCAGGGTTCTTTCTCACGAGGTCAAAAGAGAAAACATTTCTCACTTCCGACAGTCCTATTAATTTAAAGTTGCCTTACTTATACCGTAGTTATGATTTCTAACAGACGTTTTCGTTCTGATGGATTTTATGTTTTCTGTAATTTTATGTTTTTGTTATTAGAGGTTTCGAAAGCTTCCAAGCTCTTTTAATGACTATATGATACAGTACATGAGTTTTAAATACGTAAATGAGACAAAAACATGAGACCAAATGATATTGAGCTTCTGAATCTATACAACAAATTGACTGCCATTTTATTTTCTGAAATTGAGGTTATCTTCAGAGCTATAACTTATGAAGTTCAAAATGGTTATGTTCTACTTACGCTGTCCCATTCAAGAGTCCAAAGGGCGATATGTTCTCTTTCTCTTTATTGTATACATCATAACAACCAGCAATATCTTCTTTGAAGTCATCATGCACCACACATGAGTTGTTCTGGACCTTGAGTTGGCGTATCCGTGGGACACCAAGCAGTAAGTTCTCATAATAGATATATGATTGCGCATTGTAGCCCAAAGATTTATTGTTGTACCATTTAGTCCAATACAAACTATCCAGGAAAGGTCCTTGTGTATACTATGGAGTTAGAGAAAAAGAGAGATGTTATTTGAAACAGCCACACGACACAGAACGACATTAATGTAATTTCTTTTTGTGTATGTCAAAATGGAAGAACTTGTATCAATGCAAGGATGAGAAATCGTGGCTCTTTCTTGGATTTTTTTTTTAAAAAGTTAGTCTCTTCTAGGGGTTACAGTACAGTTTGATGGTGTTTCCTGTTTCAAAAGTTCAGTTCAAAAGTTCAGGAAACGGTTCTGACATTTTTAGCATTTATGATCCAAGGAGCTTCTGAGATGGCCAAAAAGGTTTGCATTCTCCTATTACCGACTTGATATGATTGAATTTCAAATGCATAGGAAGAGAGCTCTTTTTTGTAAATTAGAATTGGTTAGTGCTCTTTCTTTGCATAATAGTGTAGAGCAAGGTCTTCAAACCTGGCCCTTTTATGACTTGTGGACTTCAATTCCCAGAATTCCTCAGCCAGGCACACTGGCTGAGGAATTCTGGGAGTTGAAGTCTACACGTCATAAAAAGGCCAAGTTTGAAGACCTCTGGTGTAGAGGAAAAAGTGTATATGGTCTGAATTCTTGATATATAGCCAAAGAGGCATTGAAAGTACTATAATTGTTCTCAGCGGTGTGTGTGTGTGTGTGTGATTTTTATTGTTTTTATATTGGGTTTTTATTGCCCAAAGTCACAGAGAGTGAGTTGGCCAGTCACATAAATTTTCATAAATAAATAATACATACATACATACATACATAAACATACATACATACATACATATATACATGCATGCATACATGCATATATACATAAATAACCAAGCCTCACAAGGAGGTATGGGTGAACTGATTATAACCTAGTCCTAGAATGTGCAGAGATTGCTACTACATAATAGGATGAATTGTGTAAATGTATTTTCATTGCAATTATGCATAAGCTATCTGGTAATGAAATATACATGTTTCCACATATGTAGAACTCAGGCAGATTAAAGTCAGTTAAAAAGAATCCTAGCCGTTTCCAGTCACGGAGCCATATTTAAAACTGAAAAAATCAGCATCCAAAACTTCCTGACACTCACTCGCCAAAAGTCAGCCATACTTCCAATGGTCTGGAAGGAGACACCACTGTCTGAAGGAGTTTGCAGAAAGAGTTCAGACATCACCTTGGTATAGTAATAGGCATTTGAACTCGTCATCCCATAGGTCACTAGAGGAATTTAAGAAAAGAAAAAAAACCAGAAAATTTATCAGTAACATTGGACATTTATTTTAATTAAATATTGCCTTGAAATATGCAATGCTGATTAGGGATGATCTTGACTTTTTACTGGATCTTATCAGTGGTGGGATTCAGCCAGTTCGCACCAGTTCGGCAGAACCGGTAGCTAATTTTTTGTTGCCCAGGCCCAGAAGCAGCATCCACACAGAGAACCGGTTGTTCTCATATTTGAATCCCACCACTGGATCTTATTCTATAAAAGCTCAGATGCAATGGTATGTATTTAGGTGCACCAGGTATACCTACTAAACAATACTGCCATGTGAACTGCACTTATCCCCAACAGGCTACTGGGTGAAAGTCAAGGTGCTGGTTGCCATCTTTAAAGCTGCATGTGGCATAGGGCCAGGTTATCTGTAGGACCATATTTCCCTGACAGTGTCTGCCCATCAGATCTGTCAGAGTAAACATGCTCCAAGTCCCATCAGTTGAAATAATGTCATTCGGTGGGTCCTAGGAAGCATGCCTTCTCTGTTATGAATTATGCATTTTGTCTGAAATGGCATGGATTTCCTGTTTGGGCAGGGGTTAGATTAGAGGATCTCCGGCACCCTGTCCAATTCGGTTATTCTGTTCTGTTATTTTGTTATTCTTTCCAAGATCACATGTATCCATCCCATCAAGGCCAACAGGGGTAGGCAACCTTGGTTCTGTTATAACTCGTGGGCTTCAACTCCCAGAATGCCTGAGCCAGCATGGCTCAGCATGGAAACCTCTCTCTTTCCCCTCAGCATGGCTGGCTCAGGAATTCTGGGAATTGAAGTCCACGAGTCATAAAAGAGCCAAGGTTGCCTACCCCTGGTCTGGAACAACGAACAAGCAAAACAAGGCAGGTTTTGGAACATTTTCTACAACCCGGGTGCCCTTCAGATGTATGAATATCTGCTTGCAGTAATATCCAACCTGGATAGACCTTGCTGAGAAGTTCAGTCACTAGAAGGCAGATCGCTTTGAAGAAATGTGACATGGACATTTGATAAATCAGTGAATTCTCTGCCTACTTTATCCGCCTCTTAGGATTGATCCACACATATGCCAATATTGTAATAAAATATTGATTCTCATCATTTGCCACATAATATTTTTAAGAGAGCCCATCGTATTAAAAGCCTAAAGTAACTCCTAATAGAAAAATGATGAATTGAGAATATTTTCTAAAAAATATATATTTACAGCTACTGAAAATAATTGAGAAGTTGGCATTCAAGTCACCTGTCTTGGTATTCCAGAAGTCAAACATGCTAATACTTCAACTCAAAAAGCACACACCAGTATCTACAACTATTATATTGTAATAGTTAACTGTTAAACCAGGGCTCTTCAAACTGGCCCTTTTATGACTTGTGGACTTCAACTCCCAGAATTCCTCAGCCAGATATGCTTAGTAGACCAGAGAAATACTATGGACATGGTATATTTAAACTTCAGCAAGGCATCTGACAAAGTAGACCACAACCTACTTCTTGGTAAGCAAGAAAAATGTGGGATAGACAGCATCACCACCAGATGGATTTGTAACTGGCTGATAAACCGTACTCAATGAGTCGTCCTTAATGGTACTACATCTACATGAGGGAAGTAAGCAGTGAGTACCACAAGGTTCTGTCTTAGGCCCTGTACTCTTCAATATCTTCATCAATGACTTAGATGAGGGAATAAAAGGGGAACTCATCAAATTTGCAGATGACACTAAGCTGGCAGGGATAGCCAACACCCCGGAAGACAAGATCAGGATCCAAAAAGATCTTGACAGACTTGAAAAATGGTCCTATCCAACAAAATGATATATAATGTGGAGAAAAGCAAGATTTTATACCTGGGTAGGAAAAACCAAAGGTACAAGTATAGATTAGGCAAAACCTGGCTCAAAAACAGTAACTGTGAGAGGGATTTAGTGGACGATCACTTAAACATGAGCCAGCAGTTTGTGGCAGCAGTCAAAAAGCTAATACAATTCTTGGTTGTATAAACAGAGGCATAGAATCAAAATCACGTGAAGTATTAGTACCACTTTATAAAGCCTTAATAAGACCACATCTGGACTACTGCATCCAGTTTTGGTCACCATATTACAAAAAAAAAAATGTTGAGACTATTTGCCACCATTGCAATCTCTTAAATATGAGCCAACAGTGTGCAACAACAGCCAAAAAAGCCAACGCAATCTTAGGATGCATTAATAAATAGAATCAAGATCACGTGAAGTACTAATACTGCTTTACCAAGCTTTAGTAAGACCACACCTGGACTACTGCATCCAGTTTTTGTCACCATATTACAAAAAAAAAATGTTGAGACTTTGGAAAAAGTGCAAAGAAGAGCAACTAAGATGATTGAAGACCTGGAGACTAAAATATATGAAGAACGGTTGCAGGATTTGGGTATGGCCAGTTTAGAGGAAAGAGGACTAGAGGGGACATGATAGCAGTATTGCAGTATTTGAGAGGCTGCCACAAGGAGGAGGGAGTCAATTTATTTTCCAAAGCACCAGGAGACAAGGCAAGAAACAATGGATGGAGACTAATCAAGGAGAGAAGCAACCTGGAATTAAGGAGAAACTTCCTAACAGTGAGGACAATTAACCAGTGGAACAGCTTGCCTTCAGAAGTTGTGGGTGCTTCATCACTGGAGGTTTTTAAGAAGAGACTGGACAGCCACCTGTCTGAAATGGTATAGGGTCTCCTGCTTGAGCAAGGAGCTGGACTAGAAGACCTCCAAGGTCCCTCCCAACTCTATTTTGATTGAAACCCAAAATGCTGCACAGCTTATAGACCATATCTTTCTTTTTATTGCAAAAATCAGGAGCTGAAAATTGAAGAAATCAGGTATTTTTTTACAGACTATAAGTACCCACGAATTTAAACTAAAAGGAAATAAGCCAGTGAGGCAAACCAATCAATATTCATTTCCCTTGGCCCAGCTGTGCAATGTTGATAGAGAAGAAAAACATGGTCAGTGATGCACGCACTATATATAAATTTGTAATATTTTTCATCTGGCTCTGCAACTGCCTATGACTGAATCTGTATTTTGGCAAAGCTGCTGATAATAGTAATGGAAGTGTGACCATAACACAGCCAAGGCAGAAAATTCACTTTGGTTGCCCAGGCAATAGGAATGCACACACTGTGTACTCCATCATTCATCGTAAGGGTAACGAGAGGGTTATGTTTGTTTCGGTGATATCAGGATTGATGGTTGTGACATCACATTTGCCAGGTGACTCTTGGTAGGGTGGAAGAAATGTCATTTAGAAATAAACAGTGCAGTAGTACAAAAGAGATAACAATGACTCTTTCAATAAGTCAATGGCCCATACAAATCTGACTTCTGGGATAAATGTCTCATCAATTCAGTGAAAGGGCCATCTTTTGCTTACTCCCCAAGGTGTGATCAGTTGTGATTGGGATCAAAACTTATCACATTCAGGCATATATACCAAGCATTTTCTAAGCTAAAATCAATAGCTGAGTTATCAGGAAAACCTGATGAGCCTCTTACTCAAACAAATGTTCAAAGCTCCTGCTTCGCAGTGAAGAGAGCATCACTTCTGTATGAGAAGAATAATTTGAGCCTTTCCCCTGTTGCTCATATCCAAGCTCCAGTGTCCTAGGCATGAAATACAGCCTTCTGTGCAGAGAGATCACAGGTGCTCAGTTGAGATTAGGATGAATTTACCCAATACAAACAGCCATTGTGTCACCACAGAACAAACATTGGTAAAGAGCTGTATTAAATCTCTCCAGAAAGTACAATGGGAACAACAACCCTCTATGTTATCTCCCTTTGCATTCTTCCTGTTCTGAGATTTAAAAGGCCACCTTCAGAGCACTATGAAAAGTTTAGCCTAGGAGGCATGAAAGAGACAGTTTGAGGTTCCTAGACACGCAAACTGGTCCTTCTTTCCATTACAAGAGACATCGTTTGATGAGACAAAGGGGCACAACTAGACATAGGCCTGTTTCTCCCATGATCTAAGCCAATGAACCAATGAACCCTACCACTGTCTCATCTCAAAAAGGTCTTGCCATCTGCCATGCCATGTTTGTTGCTACTTATGCCGCGATGTAAAAAAGATGCTGAGACTCTAGAAAGAGTACAGAGAAGAGCAACAAAGATGATTAGGGGACTGGAGGATAAAGCATATAAGGAACGGCTGCTGGAATTGGGTATGTCTAGTTTAACGAAGAGAAGGACGAGGGGGGACATAATAGCAGTGTTCCAATATCTCAGGGGCTGCCATAAAGAAGAGGGAGTCAAGCTATTTTCCAAAGCGCCTGAAGGCAGGACAAGAAGCAACGGGTGGAAACTAATCAAGGAGAGAAGCAACCTAGAACTAAGGAGAAATTTCCTGACAGTTAGAACAATTAATCAGTGGAACAACCTGCCTCCAGGGGCTGTGAATGCTCCAACACTGGAAGTTTTTAAGAAGAGACTGGACAGCCATTTGTCCGAAATGGTATAGGGTTTCCTGCCTGAGCAGGGGGTTGGGCTAGATGACCTTCAAGATTCCTTCCAACTTTATTATTATTGTTGTTGTTGTTGTTGTTGTTGTTGTTGTTGTTATTATTATTATTATTATTATTATTATTATTATTATTATTATTATTATTATTATTATTATTATTATTATTATTATTATTATTATATACACAAGGTTTTGAACACCATGACTGCCCATGTTTCATTTGGGGGCATTTTTTATGAGCTATGAGAAAATATTTGGTCCTATTTTTCATGAAGAGTAAGAAAAGCTAGTTGGAACAGCACAGCTGCATTCTCCAGCTCCATTGAGGTAACACCATAAATAAACTGAAGTTGGCAGGGGAGACAAATAGCTTAAAGTATGTCAGGAAGAAAGACGGCCTGATTGTCTTCTCCTGGAAGGATAGAAGAAAAGAAAAAATACAACAAGATGTGCCAGACGG